GGCCAACTATATGTTGCTTTATCAAGAGCAAAAAGCAGCAATTGTGTAAAGATTCTTATATAGCCTTCTCCCTTTGATCCAACAGTTGACTATGCTACCAATAACATAGTATACAAAGATATTTTACAGCTTGCAAATCATCACCTTTCATAATTGTTGATTATAAGAGTGTGAGATTCATATTCATTACATTTATTGCCCCTACCTTTTCTACACAGCTATATATCTGCACTAATCAAAGCTTAACACCCAATTATTTGTTGTGCACTGCTGCAGATTTCACTTGCTTTTATACTTACCAGATTTCACTGACAACTCATGCTTAACTTTTTTGTAAAAAAATACTTATTTTTCAATACTGCTTCAATTTTTCAGCCAATTGATGTCTCAGTATATGTAATAAGAAAATTCTTGTATTAAGATATAGCATTAAGTAAAGCTTATGCTTCATTGCTAATGCAAATAATGACAAATGTCCTTAAGAGATATTCAAAAAACAAAGGTTAGTGTTCATTACATTTGATCTCCTCTCATCAGGGCCATTTTTGTTGTTGCAATGTCTTGGTTGACCTTTTTCTTACAACTCATACAAGTAATTACTGCTTTTGTTCACAGAGTATCTTTTTTATACCCCAATATTAGTTATTGCTAAACTCTCATGATATTGCTCTTACTACTCATTCTTATAGTTATATATTCAGAAAATTCATTACGTATTAACATTACTGGTTCTTGTAGTTGTACGTACAGAACACTGATTATGAATTAATATTACTCATTCTCGTAATTCTATATTAAAAAAATTCATTGCTCAGTGTTTATCATTTTGCAGTGAGACTGTATATAAAGATGAAGAGTTTGATGAGGCTCAGAGACAACTAGCTGCAATACTAGCCTCAAAGATTCAAAGATGCTTTTCCTGTATCTCTAATTCTCTAAAAGCAATAACTATGATCCCAGGTTGAGATCTAAAACTCCAAATCCTTATAAACTTTTCTTTTAAACGTCACTTCTACAGAGTACTCATCTGCTTCATTAATATATTAGTCATTTTACCAGCTTATGTATAATGCATTTCAAGAAGAGGAAGCCTAAGTTCTTTTGCTCTCATATTCTTTCATTATTTATAACAAATCTCTGTTTCCCCTGTCAGATCTTTTGTTATTTAGATGAACTAAATCACTCATTGTTCTGTACCTTTGGACTTGAGCTTCTATTCAATATATCAGCAGATTTAGATTATCTCTGAACTATTCTAGGTGCTATATTATTGTTCAGTTCTGCCTTCTAAATTTGTTCGATATCATTATGTATTGTACTTATAACAAAATAAATCATGGTTGAATAACTTCTAATCTTGGAGTGTAAAGTGCCATTGACCTTATATAACTTAAGTATGCATTTCTTTTTAACCATCACATCAACTTATTACTTATTTTTTCCTACTATATCATTTTGTGTCTTAACTAAAGCTGTACATGCATGTATATAAACTTCTGAAACGCTAGATTACACTACAGTTTTCAACTTTTTCTCATTATCTCATTTTTCAGTTTCCCTGTAGGTATATAACCAACACAATTGTAGTGATGTCTCTCGCAATTTTATCACCTCTAGAAAATATCAGCATCAGGTAATTATATCAATGTAATTCATTCTTGTTAACCTTATTCCAAATTCTAAAGAATGTAGATGCAAAAACTGCCATTGCCTGATTGTTTAAGCATATGTCAGCTTCTCATGCTTTTGGATACACCAAAAGACACTGCTACTGTATTTGACAAACTATTAAGAACAGAAGACAAAATTAATGCTTTATTGGCAACTTCAAATAGCATTTGACCTTGTAAACAATGAACACCAAGCTATTTATGCTGAAAGAAATGTAATCAAAATTCTGAAAGAAATGTCTCCCACACAGATCCAAAGGAAACTATTTATGCTGATTGATTATCAAAAATAAAAGAACTACTGTCAAACCTAAAATGCGTGATTCCAGAGTATCAACCGTAACTTTAAGGAGACTTCCTCAACAACCACAAATGTTCATCTTTGTTAGCCTTACCCCCAAATCTCAACTTTTCATTTTATCACTATAGACTAACCTTTGTTCAATTGCCACTTTAGCTTAAATGCATTTGACTTTTCTTAGTATATGGCATACTCAGTTCTCCTTTATTTCTTCTCTATGTGCCACTTTAAATAAAAGACATTCAAACTCTCCTTAGCAAGTATGTGACAATTCAATTCTCATTTATTCATTCTCTAATTTCCAATGTATAAAAAAGCAGAGGGTAAAAATTTTGGATGGCTCTCTAATTATTAAGTTGGTCAACTTTTAACTCTCTAACTATTAAGTGCATACTTTTGCTTCCCCAAACTTGTAAAAGGGTATATTCCCTACCCTTGATGTATGTTAACATTACTTGCCACTCCTTCTCTTTGTTTTCATATTTGGTAAATGGAAATCAAGCCTTTCAAATTCTTGAAGTGGCTGATAATTGTGATTTGTAATTCCTGACTAACATTTATTGACTCAGAGTATGTAAATTTATTAAGCTGAATTCTGCTGCTGTTTCTCATTAGTTTTGACTTTTGGGGTCTTTCAGGGGATCAAGCTTGAGCTATGTATGTCAAGTTGGCAAGTTGTCATCTGAAGGTAAGTATTCGAAAGTTGTTGATTGCTTGGATTTATCTACCTCCTATTTTTGTGTATCAATTCTGTAGCTGTTCTCGTTTGCTGTACCAAATTTCGTAATTTTGATATCACAGTTGGATAGCAAACATGAAGCTGCAAATGCTTATGCTGATGCCACTCATTGCTATAAGAAGACAAACATTAAAGGTTTGGTCTCTTACCAGTTTTGACACATTGTTTGAGCTCAGACTACAGCTGTCAGTTATCACTCAATACAATCATTCATCTGGTGGCTGATTGTTTCAGCTTAAATTGAAGATCAGTCTTAGTTTTTAGTTATTGATTACATGATGTTTTTAGGAACTTGTCCATACTTCAACACCAAAAAAGTAGATTAAATATTGTCTTAAACTTTATTTCCTATGCCTGCTTTCTTTCTCATATTATCAGTTGGTTTCTTCATCAGCCAATTTTATCCCATCTTTTTTTGCTAATAAAAATTCAACCGCACTTAAGAAATGCAATGAAATTTATTTTTAATCCTAATTTCCAGCCTAGCTTTTATCTGTTTTGATATTCTTGTTCCTTTCTTCCTCTGATTTTCATCCAATCCCATTTTGGGATTTAAGCCATCATCTTTTCACTTAGATTATAGAGCTTTTATTTTACGAACCGTTGATGGCTAATAATTTTATTCTTCACACAGTCTATATCTTCCTTGGAGCAGTCCGTGAATTTGTTCTTGGAAATTGCAAGGCTCAATATGTCTACAAGATACTACAAGGTGCAATCTATGTCACTTCACCTAAATAAATTATCTTTTGCCTCTGTAGTCATCTTCCATCTTATTCTTGAAGCTCATTTCTCTTTTCTGAAAGAACAGAATGTCTTTTAGATAGATTTGATACTTTTGTGATTCATATGTAAAGTTTTCATGTCTCATGTAAAGTTTTTCGACATATTGTAACATCAATACGTACAGACTATTGGTCAACTTATCAGAACTCATAACCTACGATGCTATATATTTACTGTCTATCATGCGATGATGGCTGTGATATCTGCTTTTATCTCTTAATCTATGTTTCCTTTTGAGTGTTAGCTATTGATTCCTTTATTTGAATCTAAGAAATTGCTGAACTATATGAGTAAGAAGAGAATTTGGAGCAGACTATTGTCTACTATGAGAGAGCAGCTGATCTTTTCCAAAGTGAAGGTATCAACACCATTGCAAATCAGTGCGAACAGAAAATTGCCCAATTTGCTTATGTCAAGAAAACTAAAAAGTAAATGCAGAAATGAAAAGATGGTACTAAAGTTTTAAGGTTAGGAAGACTGAGTGCCAGCTAAACTAAGATTACTTCATAAGACTTTTTGTTTTTACCCTATACACAAGATTTAGTGTGTGTGTGTCTTTAAAACTGATACTCATAATGCCCTGCAGATATCCAAAGGCAATTGAAACTTATGAAGACATAGCCCAACAATCACTTAACAATAACTTGTTGAAATACAGAGTCAAGGGGCACCTTCTTAATGCTGACATATGCCAACTGTGTAAAAATGATGTTGAATCAATCAATCATCCACTGATTAGACTCTTGAGAGTTTTGCTTTTATTCTCTCTGTCTCACATTGGTATGTACAGGAACTTTATCCAACGTTCTCGGGAACACAAGAGTACAGACTTTTAGCTTTTAGCTTTTCCACCTTTTTAAAAAATTGTCTCCCACAGGTTATTCAGCTTAGTAGCTACCTTAGTCTCACTTTGGCAGCATTAGAAACTTCTAATCAAGATATTCTTGATGATATTCTTGAATTAAAAATTTAATGAATACTTCCTTATTTGTGAGAAGGAGAAATCAAAATTCAGTTGCTTAGTTGCTCTTACATTCAGTTTTGCCACTTGCTTATGGTTTATGTTCTGAGCTATAAAAATTTGACATCAAGACTTTGCTTCTCCAAACAACTTTTCATATGGTGCGTTTGCTCTAAATTTTTTTAAACTCTTGTACGACAATTGATAAAAATACAGATATTGATCAATCCATCTGATTGAGTAGCTAACCTTAAAATGCGGACTGCTCAAATCACCTCCTTGCTCTCTAAATCATATAATTCACATGTTCATTATAGTCCAGCTCTTGCGATTGCCATATCATGTACTGCTACTAATGTCAGCGAAACCATATCATTGGTGAAGCTTTTCACATCAGATATAGTTGACATCAGATGACTGAAACCAATAATTCCACTGTCACTGCATTGAGGTAGTTTATTCCTGTTAACTGTGTGTGTACCTACTTGGCTATCTAATTCATTTCAAGTAAGCCAATTTCTTGCCTCATTTAACAGATAGCAATTGAAAAAAATTATTCTCGATAACAATCAGAACAGTTAACAACATACATGCAGTTTTAGCATCACTGGTGAAAGGAATGTGACAATAAAGCTGATTTCAAACAAAAAACATAACAAAGTAACTGCAGTTGTTGCTCTTACTCTTTTTAACCAATCTTGGTACTCGAATCAACTCATATACTTCCTTAGCTTGTCCTCTGGCACTTCAACTGTCATGCTTCCTACAGCCGTTTTTATGAACACCACCTAACGCAAGTAGCAAAAAGACATATGAGTCAATTTGCAATGAATAACCATTGTGTATCACCCTAGAAGATTGACAATTTGCAATGAGTCAACACCAAATGCACGCATCAGCTACATACTAAGATAGATCTAACTACAAATTCAGTTCTCAAATATTGTTAGCGGACATGCTTTACACTTAAATTTCAAAGTGCCGAGATTATTCTGTAAAGTTCAATACTAGAACACAACCCAAATTGGTTTGAAACTCTAATGAGGTGAAGAAACAGAATCTATCCAACTTAAACTCACATTGCAATCACTGTACGTTATGGAGGAAAGCCAATTCATGGACAGCAGAGTCAGAGAAAGCTCACATATTCCTTTCTCCATCTTTATTCAATTGACAAATTTCTTACCCACATCCACTCATTGAGTTTCATACATCAAGTTTCAAAATGTTGTAAAGTGCTTTCTCAGAAAAGCCAACAATAGAATGATAAGCTGGAAAACAACAATACAAGACATTACATTGGCTTTCCAGTGTACCAGAAAACAAATTTTAAATTTCTAAACCGAAATCCTAAGCTGCTAATATTCCTTTCACTCTGATTGTATTTCAGATTCACAGGAGAAATGTTCAGACCTTATTTCAACTTACTAACAACAAAGCGTTTAACTATAAACATTTTACCAGTCCACTAACCAGCCTAATCTCAATTAATTACATGTAACATTTCATCCATAGCTGCAGATCCACAAAAAACCACCAAAATTTTTCTGCCCCATTTCAATCCATAGCGGAAGATGCTCAAAAACCATCGAAAAATTTTATATGACATCAATTTCAAGAAAAAAGTATAGACCCAAAGGGAAAAAAATAAAATTTTCGATGGACAATCAACATCATCAACCCATATAAAACTCATGCACACTGTTCTCCTATCAAACTATGCAACATATTGTTACTCCTGAAAAAAATCCTAAAGCTTAAAAATTTATCCAAAGTCTCCACCAAATATCACCGGTTTTCCACACAAATATTCCGCAAAACACTAACTGTAAATTCCGACAGTTAATGATGGTGAATGATACGTATAATTAAGTAAATTTCAAATATTAGTAACAATTCACACAAAATAAACTGAATGAGATTCTGACCATCTTCGCCTTCCTCCTCATCTTCTTCTTCCTCACTATCAACTTCAGCTTCAAGTTCAAAAAAATGAGACCCCGACCTCTTCTTTGCATTCCTCTTTCCACTGCCACCGCCGTAATCCTCATCATCATGGTCTTCCTCCTCTCCCTTATCATCTTCCTCTGGCAAATCATCAATGAAATGCAATCTCCGCCGTTATCATCTCGTCGTCGTACCTCTCCTCTCATCTTCGCGGCATCGCAAATCCCGCTTCGTAATTCTCCTTACAACTGCAATTAAGCTCTTCGCAATGCTTGATTATGTCGGTCGCTGATTACAAAGATGACGATTTGTGAAACCCTAAATGCAAAAATTGGGGATTTTGAAGAGAAAGAGAGAGAGTGTGGAGTATATTATTCTTGTTAATTTATGATGAGGAAGGTCAGCGGCGGACGGACGTGGTTGACCTACCATTGCAGTGAAGATTGAGAAAACAGAATTTGAGCTCGTCCAGTGTAGTAGGCTAGCACCAAACAAACGTACAGTAAGCCGTCAATTATTGACTTTTTTTTATAGCACCATAGACGAGTGTGTTTGGATTGGAAGTTATTTGAAATATTTTTACTGTAGCACTTTTTGTGATGTGATGTATGTGAGATAAAAAGGTAATTGGGAAGATAAAAAGGTGTATTGGAAATTGTAACGGTGATGTCAGCAAATATATTTGGCCAAATAATTGACTGTCCAAACACACTCATTATTATTATTAAACTTTTATAACAAAGGAGTGCACTCTATCAGTTTTGCATCAGTTCTGCCGTACACGTTTTGTTCCACTTTTACCCTTTACTCACCCGTGCATAATTACTCGTGACAATTTGAGCTCCATATCCTCTGAATTTACAACCCAGCTTTTCACTGAACCTCTCTGTGCTGCTATTTATTTTGTATAACCAATATTCAAAGCTTGAACACGTCTGAATAGCTCTACATTAATCTTAAATCAAATTAAAAAAAAAAACTTAAAGCCTACTGGACCTCTAAGCCTACAACATATGCATGAGTCTAATATATACTACTTTTGCTTGGCGGAGAAACTTACGAACAGGTCTAAAGCTCCCACAATTTGCGTGGGAAGCCAAACCTAGTATATATATATATATATATACGAACCGGGTTTGCCACTGATCATTTGCGCGGGAAAAATTATAGAGCAGTAGTATTAAGTAATCATGGAATGGCGGATTTGATATGAGAAAAAAGTGTGAATAGGGCGTGGAGGAGAGTGATGGCGAACAAATTGATAAGCGAAATGGGTCTTCCCAAATCAATAGCCAACATCTTTGCTGCTCGCAACATTCACACTGCCAAGGTAGAACAGAATATCAAATTAAATTTCTAATTTGGCATCAAATATGAACCCATGGATTCTGTGGATCACTACCTATAATTCACGCAATTTTAACTCTTTTACATGTTGATTATTACTTCAAGTTATTTGAAATCCATCCTTTCTTTCCTTTTCCAGGTATATCCATGTTATTACGCAACTTTCTCAGCCCTAGCTCTTTTTTTTTTTTTTTTTTTCGTGAATTTTATGTTGATTTTTTTTAAATTTATTTTTATTTTTTGGTTCAGTTTTCAAAATTCGTGTTCGACCTGGACTCAGTATTGAATGGGAATTTAATTAAGCTGCTTTTGGAAAATCTTTTAGCATAAGACTCAGGATTGGGAATTATACTCTGCAGTTTCGTTGCAGCCGTAGTGATATTTTAGAAGAGTTCAAGTTTGATTGTCATGTTGTCATCAAAGAAACCAACAGCGATTCTCATTCTCAGTCCCTATATGGCCTTACAGAGAGAGGCTCCATCTCTGCCTCTGCATATATTCGCGTTTCGTAGAACTAATTTATGTTTGTCTTGTGTGAGTCCAGGATGCATTGTCATTAACCGAGTTTGAGTTAACGGAGCTGTTAGATGTCGGGTTGGCTGAAGTTACAACAGCAGTATCAAGTATCAGTGAGATTTCTTGCCCTCCCTACCAAACTGTGAGTTCAGATGTCAATAAGCTTGCACTGAATTGTGTTGTGATTCGTTTTTGTATAGTGAACTATAGGAGAAAAGAATGGGATGTTCTGTTTAGGTGTTTGTTCGCAACTTTGGTGTTAATTTGTCTTTTTAGGCTCTGTCGCTGTTGGAGCAGCGTATGCATAATGAGTACTTGGCAGGTCATCTACCAACTCGTCTGAAAGGACTAGATGCAGCCTTATGTGGGGCATTCCATTTGGTGTTATTACGGAGTTGGTTGGTCCTGCAGGGATTGGCAAAACACAGGTATGGCACAGCGATGATATTGGGTTTCTAAAGTATTTTTGCTATGCTGCTGTTATTTTCCTCATCTCATTTGGATTACAACATTGCTGGGAATTTTATTGCCTGCATCCGCTCTTTCCGTTAACTAATTTATGTTTGTCCTGCCTTTTTCCCTGCTTCCTTATCCTTTGCACCTATTACTTAGCTTCTAGTTTGGTGGGGGTTGAAGTTGAAAATGGAAGCTGCAGTTGTCTCCTTTAGATGAATATTAGAATCCAAAACCTGAAGTGCGTTTGCAGTACGATGGGGAACCTTGGTTGAAATTGCTACATGCAGAATATCTAGTTTGGTTATATTCAAATGGCAGCATAGGATAATGCTCCTTTTTCTTTAAAATTTATTTATTAAATACATATTTTAACCCTACAATGATTCAGTCCGTAAACGGACCCTAACCACAAAAATGCAGGAGTCTGTTGGTGTAGGGTATACCTGCATTGCATTTTCTGTCCAAGATTTCGATCCATCTTATTTGTCATTCTCAACAGATCTTATTTTGATGCGACTTGTAGTTCTGCCTGAAGCTTTCCTTGTTGGCCTCACTGCCTTCTAGTCACGGTGGCCTTGATGGCCATGTCATATATGTGGATACCGAATCAAAATTTAGTTCAAGGAGGTTTGCGTCTTTCTATCTTCTAATATCTTTTCAAATTCTTTTGTCAAGCTTTCTTGCACTCAAATGAATTCCATCTTTTTCAGGATGATTGAAATAGGTGTTAATAGTTTCCCAGAAATATTCCAAATTGAAGGAATGGCACAGCAGGTATCCAGCAATATATGATTACTTTCTTTTACAGAAGCAAACACGGACACAATCATTCGACGTGCACACAGACGAAACATATAGCTTGACTTTAGATTTGGAAGCAGAAAATCCGTTCAGAATTGAGACATGATAACTAAATCATATGACACAGATTTTGTAGTGTCACACATATGAAATCTGGACCAAGTTAAAGAGATCATTATGTTACTTTTATCTAATTAAAAATAGAGATTTCCATATATTGATTATTAGCTGTTTCACATATCAAATCCTGTCAATATTTGCCTGCACAATCCTTTTTGATGTTGAAATCTTGGAAAAACTTATTTAGCATGAAGTTGGGTCTTTGCAGGCTCAAGTCTTCAAAGTTGGGAGAAAATAGATGTAGGAAGATACTCATCTTAACGAGGGAAAAAAGCAGAAGTTTTAAAAATTGTTGCAGTTATTACATGTTTAAGCTCTTCTACATATCTGGTCTTTGTGCCTTTTTCCCCCCTTTTCCTTTCTGAGAGTTGCAAGGTGCTTCCTAGATTGCACCCTGCTCATGATCTGATAGTTTCTCACATCTTCCTAAATCTTTCTAAATATCTGCTGCAGATGGCTGGTAGGATCCTAGTCTTGCAACCGACGACACCCACTGAATTCTCAGAGTGGTATGAGTAAGATAAATCAGGTTCTAGGTTATCAGCCTAAGAAATGATGTATTAACCCAGCTATGGAGAAAATCAAGTAAATTTTTTTAGAGATGCTCTGGGTGATCGTTGGAGGATAAACATTAATTAGTTGAGCCTCTATCATCATTTTCCTTATGCATGCAGAGAATATACGAGCGTAGGCCATCTTACGTTGCTAGGTTGGAGGATTTAGCTTGATGGTACTGGAGTTCAATCAAAATCAACATCCTTAAGCGTTTTGTGTGCGTGTGTGCGAAGTATGCTGTCACAAGAGAAAGAATAAGAAAATAATTGGATAAGCATGAAAAATTATATACAATGAAGAATAAAATAGGAAAAATTAAACTGCAGTTACTTTCAATCAAAACAAAGGATGCATAATAAATGTGTCTTTTTGTTGGAGTTGGCAGCTAAGAAGTTGAGAAATTCTTATGGAAAGATTGAACTGAAAAGAGCTCGCTAGTTTCTTGAGTTTTGCATTTTTTACATCCGTGATATCCTGTGTAAGACATTGAGAATGTTCTTTTTGTTAGTTAGCAGCCAATGGACTGATTATAACACTGGATGTAATGTCTTTTAACAGCTTGCAAAAGATCAAGGATTCCCTTCTCCAGCATCATATGAAGTTGCTAGTCATTGATAGCATGGCAGCTCTTGTTTCAGGGTCAGTTTCATTTTCCTTCTCCGATTCTGCACTAGGTAGTGGATGGCTCACTGTAGTAAAGAGTTATTGATGCACAACAGCTGTAATCTATGTTACATATGTGGAAGACTAATGTTTTCAATGGACCTTAAATTTGTAATTTTTCTGCTCAAAGCTTATAAAGCCTTGACAAAAATTGTTTCTTGATTTATTTTTCTGAGTGAAGATTGCAATTTGATTTCCTACTTCATACAACAAACTTGTGTTTATTAATTTTAAAATTGAAATGGTACTGTATGTATTACATGTCTGGATTGCCTGTTTGTAGAGGCAATATTTTTCACATTTTATTTGTTTGTTTTCAACAAGGAGAGATGGACAGGGACAATGTAGACAGCATCCATTGGGTTGGCATATGACCTTTATAAAGTGAGTGAGAATTTTGTCCTTTAACTTTTTAGCTGATATCGCAGAAAGTTAATTTCTTGGATAAATAACAATTTCTTCGCTGTTGATTGAATTATTGTGGTATGAAGATCACTCGCAGAATTTTCCCGTATCCCTGTGGTGGTGACTAACCAAGTTAGATCTCATAGTGGTGATGACCCTTTCCACTATTCCTTCCAAGGTATTATGACGAGTTTCATAATGTCAGATTTACCTGTTCCAGATAAGCAATATACGAGTCACTCATCTTGTGCAGTTCAGATTCTAGACAAAATCTGGATTTCCCCACAACATTTGATTCCCATCTTGTTGCTGCTCTTGGGATCCCTTGGGCTCATGCTGTTTCTATCCGTCTTGTGCTGGAATCTAAATCAGGTTTGTTTGTCCCTTCACAATAATTTTAAACTTGGGAGTGAGGGAAGGCTATTAATGCTTTTAGGAATTACCTTAACCAAGGGATAAAGGAGATTTTGAAACATGTTGGCTAGGAAAATTTAGAGAAAATAATGCTTCTAATGTTACGTTGGAATGAAAGTAATAGTTTCTTTACTGTCTCCAACATAATGATGTTTTGCATTAGTCAGGTTTTTTGCTGATTTTACCAAAGAATTAAACTGTGCAAATTTTTCGTACTCCTAAACTCTGTTAAGTGGTTCTGTTGTCTCTTGTAGGGCAAAGATTCATAAAACTGGCAAAATCATCAATGTCCCCTCCGGTTGCATTCACTTTCGCTATATCTGCATCTGGAATTTCCTTGCTTCATGACGATGGAATTGAAATGACTGGACCAGAAATAAATGGAATATGTGGTCAAGGTGTGATATGAATATTTTCTTCACTACTATGAGCAGAATCAAGCAACTAAATTACAAAACTAATAGGGTCTTTTGCTTGTGGAGGGTGGAGAAGGGGAGGAGAGCAGTTAACTTCCATTAGTGCGTGTAAATTTTTCAACTGGCCTAGAAAAACACTCTAAAACTGTTATAGACAGATCAGAACTCAGTGTCATCTTTCAATGAGTGAGAGGCCTCTAGAATTGTCAGCCACAATCGTATTCTATGATGTATGTACTGGCACAAAAAATGTATGCAACAATGAATGTATGAACTTAAGTAGCACGTGTTAACTAACAACTGCTTTCATGATTGGTAGTTGTGGATCAAAAGTCATTGTTTTACACTCGTTGAAATTGAAATATTTGTTGTGTCAGCATTTATTTGTTATGATCATGCATACATTTGACAGCAAATTTATGTTTGATAATTGTAGAGGCCCTTGATGATATTTGAACATTTTCATTCATGTAAGCTGTTCACAGATAACTTCATTGCTGAAATTGATTTTTAATATTGGTAATCACCTCAGAGAAGGCCTACTATTTTCTGCTTGGCCAGCTCTCTTTGATATCTTCCAAGCTACCATCCATCTTCCTCCTCATGGTCATTTTCTGTTTGGTTAGGGGAGGATTGGGCAGTAATCAAACAGTGCTTGTTTTGAACTCCTGTTGCCTTTTCTGTGGATTATTTATTCATAATGCTATTTAAGGATATATGACAGTTACATAGATTTTCATACTTGAGCTTATAAGAATCTCGCAAATTGTTGTGCTGATGTTACATATAAGAATGCAGGCCTCTGTGGCATGATTTATTGTGATAATGACATGTCATAATGAGCTTTGCTTTCTGGAGAAAAGCTGCAGATGTCTTCCTGGAGGCATCTTGTAGAATCTCGCAAATTAATTGGTGACTAATCTAATTTTCTATTTGTACTTCCTCGAGTTTTTGGAAATTGAATGTGCATTTTTTTGGTAACCGAGCAAATAATCTCCACAGCGAGATAGTATAATCTGATTTATCCTCAATCCAATCTGATGACTAGTACACTACCACCTTTGGCCATCTAAATTTGGTACTTGTGCTCGATAGAATTTAGATAATTAACTGGCTATTAAATATTTTATTAGAGTGGATTAAGTTTTGCTATGATGTTGCTGGAAATGGCATAATCATCGATGATTATGCAACAGTTGATAGATGTTTGCTTCTGTAAAGAAAGAGATACAACTGCCACTATGCTTCTTAAGACAGATGTTTGTGTTAGATTCCTCACATATGTTGAACGGCTATTATCCTGTTTTTGTGCTTCATGTGTCTAGTGCAGTCAATACTTTTTTTTTGCTTTGTAGTTTTAAAGCATTTCAATGTTGCTTCCTCTATTAATGACGCACATAACATCAAATATTTCAGGGATTTTGAGGTTGGTTTGCTTTCATTTCTTGCAAGCTGAGAACAGAATTATGAAGCTTTGTTACTGGAATTACTATCATACTGGCAATCTGTTTTTGAAATATGTCTCATGAAAGATCAAACATCTTAGTATGACGGCTCACCTAATGCAACTAAACTGATTCTACTATAACTCCTAGTAGGCTTATGCGATCAGATATTTATTTTTTTCCTTGTTGGGCTTTCAGCCTGCGTTTCATTTCTGTTAATGTGGAATGTGGGCTGAAGTCTGAATGTACTTGTTTCCTGTTCTGGGCCCTCAAATGTTGTGTTACCTTTTTCAGGCAACAGTGGTTTATTCGATTAAGAATTGGAGCTTCAGGGTTGTTTGTGGCTGATAGCTGTACTCAAGGACTCGAGCACTTAGCTTGGTACATAGATCTTTGTTTGAATATAGTTCTGTAGCCCTTTTATCACTACGCATCAGAAATCAAAGTTTGATTGAGGTTAGAATCATTGTTTGTGCCTTCATCTAGGAGACAAGTAGACTTTTTCTTTTTTTTTCAGGGTATGAGGAATCAAGGCATATTGGCATGAAGAAATAGGCACAGATATGTAGAATTGGTAAGCGCCGTGCATAATTACACGATTTAAGTTACCTAATTATGCTGGCAATGTTTTAATGTGAAAAATCTCTGAGGGTGTCGATCTTTAGGTTCAGATGCACAACTGAACCAGGACCTGCGTGAAGATCATCATCATCATCATCATAGGGATAGCATATTACCATGTGACAGTCAAACCAAATTGCAGGATTAATTTATTTGGTCTTGCTGCGACAACTGAAGACCATTAAATTTAGTATCCTTTCTCCTTTCACTTTAATAACTTGAATGAGATACTTGGAACAGGAATACCTTAAAATGCACTCCTTCAGATTTAAGGATAACTTATTTTTTATCATCCTTTGTGAGAACCAAGATTAAGGTTAGCGCTTTGGTTTCGCATACTGGTAAATAAACAACTTTGAACTGTCCTCAGCTAAAGAAGCCATAAAGTGCTGTTCAACCTTCTGATGGGGGTTTTTAAATAGGAAAAACTGTAAAGAGGAAACCCAAGATTGAGTTTTACCATTATTCTTATTTTACCTTTTTAACCTATGACCAAAGCTGTTGTCTAATCCCCCATTGCTAGTGTTGGTGTTTTTGTGATTCGTGATTTGTCCACGTAGCCACTCGCCTGATAGCATGTTTGGTATTTGACTGCAAAACTGTTTGGCAATCAATGCCTAGATATGGTTAAATAATATCTCATTAACTAATACGCTCCATGTTCTGACTCAACAAAGTTGAATAGGCATGCTTTTGTTTAATTCTGATTGTGGCATCTTAATCTCCTCGAAGTTTTATGCATATAGAATATAGAAACGAATAGGTTAATCACGAATCTTTCAACTACCATTTTTTAATGTCAGTGACCTTGTAAAGTGTGGCCATGATTAAAAAAAATAATAAAAGAGTCGATGATATTTTACTTGTTATACTATGAAAATTTTTGTTCTCTTCTACCATATGCAACTTCCACATCTGGAATTCTGGAGTGCATCAAAGAGGACATGACTATTTGTATTTCGCGCACGCCAACCTTCTAAAAATTACTACAAACCAAGGAGTTCTTATAAAGTAAAATAACAAAAGGATAACATTATCTATTGTTTCCTTCTTTGTTATTTGCCTGTATCTAACTTTTGAGTAACCAATGCAAATGAAGGCTTTAATTTGTTGTTTTGTTTTGGGGGGGGGGGGGGGGGGTTGAAGCAAAGACGGCGACAGTAAGAAAGAAAGGTTACACAGAAATGAGTAGTTAATGGGGAAAATGGTCCACTTGTTGGGCCTTTTTATGGCCTAAAAGTTGAAGATGACGAATTGAAAGAAGGTGCCTAGGGAGTAATTGCTTCTGTCTTCTCTTGCTTGTAGAATAATGGTTCATTAGCTTTTTGCTTTTGGCAATGGTGGATTTAATTGCTGTAACCTACAGCTTCTGATGGTACGTTTTCGGTATGATTCTTGTGTGTGTGTGTGTGTGTGTGACGTGGACCTATTCTTGTAAACAAGATCAAATTGACATCATTTTCATCTAGTCAATTTGCATCATCTTATTGGAGAAAGTAAATGTGGATTATCACAAAAACTATGGAGATGCGAATTAATTTTCTTGAAAATTCACAATTAGAAATCCACCGGTCGCTTTGCGGTAGTAATAATTCAATCTTCATAGGCTCTCGATTGTGGTTCTTTCTCTCTTTCCTGCTTGGAACTTGCATGCCTTTACACGCCTTTGTTGTCTGATTGCATTATATAACCTGAATCTGGTCGCTTGAGGTGTCATCGTGCCAAGGCAGGAAAGACAAATCACCCATGCTTGAATTGGTAAAAGAAATTGGAGGAAAATCATAAAAACGAAAAAAAAAAAAACAATGACAAAAGCCATAGGAATTTCCTGCAGAGAATCTTTGTTATTGAGATCTATGGCTATTAGCGGAAGAGTAAACACGACGTTCCGGCTGCCAAAGGGACTGAGTTGATTCATTTTTACATCTGTCTAAGTTATTCCTTAGTGGCTCAAAAACATCTCTTTTTTTTATTACTACTTAATTCACAAACGAGAGCACAATCATACGACGTGGTAATGTTGACACATTATTGTTGTTTAGCAAATTGTAGCAATCCGCCGGCCTATGACCGATGAGAATATTCGCAGCCATTCATGTGATTATTCTCTTCTTATTAGTACTACTAATTATTAGACCATAACCAGCGGCCAATAAGCTTCTCTTTATTGGCAACTGCCTCTCTGAATCTTGCCCTCTTTTGTAATTAATTATACAATTTTTCTAATTAATCTCCTTACATTTATTACGTGCTTCTCCTAATTAATCTTATATTTCTAAAAATTTAACGTCCGAAAATACATCTTTTCGTTTTCGTTACGACAGACAGACAGACAGACTAATCTGATTATTAAGTTGAACAAAGGGGATGGGATGGATGAATAAATTGCCAGCCAGGTGCCTCCTTGACACAGGTGAAGAATCTCACCTTAGCCTTTTCTCTGGAGTAGAATTGGCAGGTACGGATACTCAGGGCCAATCTTGGAAACAAAAGGGTATCATCTCCAATTAAGCTCCTAACCTCCAATAATTGAATGCCAATCCAAGCACTGCTAAAATAAAATGGTAGTAGCAGTAGTTGATGAAACAGTAGTACTAAGTTGTAAATTAAATATGATTAGCGATTAACTTAGAATAATAAACTGATTAACCAGAGTCGCACCGCAAACGAATTAATAATGCACTGGTAGTAATGATAAAGAATAATTTGTTGCTACTTCCTCCTCTGTCTGTGTAATCTTAATAATTATATGGATTAAAGAAATAATATAATAAAGCCAAAAAAAAAAAAAAAAGGGGGGGGGGGGGAAAGGTTGACTAAACGACAGGAGAAGATACGATAAGAGGACTTTCGGTGAATGGAGAGGAAGCGTCCACGTCTCCCTAGGAGGTAAAAACCTCGTACCCACCCCCCAGTTGCCTTGCCGACAGCAATGAGAGAAGTAGAAAAGAGCCCATCCCAACTTGTACTTTCCTTAAAAGAGAGTTAATACCACACCTGTGTTGTGGCTGTGGCTGCTACTCCAAAAGTCCTACGTATTTCTTGACTATTGCTACCGGAGACAGAGAGTATTATTTTATGTCCACATGATATGATATCAATCATTTGTTGTTGTACCAGGAGGTCTCATCTCATGTGAGCAGCTCTTTTTGACAAAAAATTATTCAACCCTCTTAATCTCTTTATTGTACTAGTACATTTTAATTTTTAACCGGCAATTTGTGCCCTTAAATAGGATGCATGCGTACCAAGAAATTCGACCAAATTTAGTCAAAATTTATTATCTAGTAGAATAAGAAGAAAATAAAATGATATAAGAAAAGAGCCATTACTTGGATGGGAAAATAATAATAATAAGAAGCTTACTTGACTCGTTCTATGATAATGATTTTCAAAAAAAAAAAAAAAAAAAAAACTCTATCGGGAAAATTTTCCCAGTTGGAACAACAATTTTATCGACGAAATAAAATTAAGAAACTTATCAAATACTACCAAACACAGGAGAAATACTACTAGTACTATTGTGACAGGCCGATAAACATGCAGGAATAGACTGACACAATAATGTTTATTTTCCCCCTTTCTGTTTTCATTTTTTGTCGGTTAGGAAGATAAGTAATAATTTTGGTGTTGATCTTTTTGTTTTTTGATAATGAGTTGTTGTTGATCCTTTGTTGCCGTTTCTCAGTAATAAGGCCAAATTGTTCCTCACGTAACAGTTTGATTTAATGCCCCATTTATTAGAATTATTTCAAACTGATGCATCACATGTATGATCTTAACACAACCTTTCACCCAGCAAAACTTTTAGATTTTAGCATTAAGGGTCTGTTTGTTTGTTTGGACTGAAAATCTTTTTCAAAACATATTTTCTTCAATTTCTGGTGTTTGGCCGCTAATGCAAAAGAGGTCAGGAAAATTTTTTTTTTTTTTCTGGTAGAAAATCTCTTACATAACTTGGTGTAAAATGACTTCCTGAATGAATTAAGATGCGGCGGAAGTAAAGCTGTTAATCGAGCCGAGTATTTGGCTGCCGAGCTCGACTCGAGTTTAATTCGAGCCGAGCTCGACTCGAGCTCGTTAAGAAAACGAGCTTTAAAATGTGTTCGAACTCGGCTCGTTAAATGTACATGTGGCTCTAGCTCGAGCTCGAGCTCGACTCGTTTATCACAAACGAGTCGAGCTTCACGAGCTCGAGCTCGAGCTCGTGCAAATTAACATTAATAAAAACCTATAATTTTTAATTTATATAATTTTGATTTCTAAAATGACAAATATGCCCTTCATTAACGAGCTCTAACGAGCTACTCGAGTATCAAACGAGCCGAGCTCAAATTAACATTAATAAAAACCTATAATTTTTAATTTATATAATTTTGATTTCTAAAATGACAAATATGCCCTTCATTAACGAGCTCTAACGAGGTACTCGAGTATCAAACGAGCCGAGTAAGCTCGGCTCGTTAACTAAACGAGCATGTTTCGAGCTCGAGCTCGACTCGTTAACCAAAATTAACAAGCCGAGCTCGAGCCTTAACGAGCCGAGGTCTAACGAGCTTTCGAGCTACTTGATTGGCTTAACAGCTCTAGGCGGAAGTTAATTTCAGACCGCTATCGTGACTTATCAGTCTCCTTGGCGCTTGGCTATTGTACAAAACCATCAAGTACCATTCCACAGAGATCAAATCAAGAGCAACGTCCCTACACTTGCTTCTGCAAATTCCACAACTTTCTTATGTTCCTCCCTACCGATTCCTTTTCTCTCGCGCCACACAAACACTTTTCATGGATTATACAATTCTAGATCTAGATTGGGCTTTACATTGAGAAGTTTTGCAGAAG